CATTTGACAGCACATTTCCATCAAACCCCCCCCCCCCCCCCCCCCCCCCCCGCATGACGACCTTTAACCTTTAACGAACACCTCACAACACACCAGCTACACTAACGCACAGAGAGCTTTTATACAGTTTGCTAAAGCGATCCGGCAGCAGCCCAGCTCAGCGATCTGGTACAGGGGCCTCAGGTTGGGAGGTTAGAGGAGGAGGAGGTTTCTTTGATGGAAATCTGCTGTCAAATCACCACCTGGTCTCCCCGGAGAGAGAGACGTCCAGTGTGTCCAAGACGAATGAGGATCATTTAAAGGCTGAAAGGAGATCTCTGAGCTGGACAGTTGCCTTCGTTCTCAACCCACATGGAGGAACGAGGCTTTGCGTTAAACACAGATGTTATAGAGTCAAACACATCTGAAGGGGGAGAGTTTGACATTTATTACACTTCTGAATTATTTTTTGGCACATAGCTAAAGATTTTTTGCATTTTCCAGGTGTCAATATGAAGTATAGAATGGATATTATTTAAGAGAAATACTAAAAAATCGATCATGCATGCTCAGAGAAAATAATGACTAAATGATTAAGATCTCCCCCTGTGTTTGCTAAAACTCTAAACACTACGACTACAGAGCCTGAGTTACCTGATCACATAGGCTCTGGGCCTTTTTGAGGATCTCCACAACTGTGGTGGATACAGGTACGCCATCCTTTCAGACAGTCACAACACACCAACAACAGTCAACAAGCTGCTGATTGTTCCACTTTTACGAGCACAAACAAAAAAGCAACACTCCCAAAGGAACAAAATGAAATCTGGATTCTGTTGAAAATTCTGCCACTGAAATGTCACATTTTTACAGGTGAAACTTGAGTGCAGTTTACCTGCGGATCTGTGGGCATGCATGAGGGTTGCATGTACGGTTGGTCTGTGGCCTCGGCAGAGATGCACAGAGATAGTCGGGGTAGGACTCGTTGTCAATGGTGCAGAAGACCAAACGAGACTGGTAGCCTGATGACGGTAAGAATGAGAACTGACTTGTGTCATTTTACAAGAAGCAGGTTAAGAAAAGCATTAAACACGTACTGGTCTGCATTTGGGGATGTTTAAATTATTGACTGTGTTTGTCTGAGACTCTGACCTGATCCACACTCTTTGCTGCAGGAAGACCAAGATCCGAAACTCCAGTAGTAGCCCTGTCTGGAGCGTCCATTGGGAAGATAAAATTCATACTCCACTCCTTGGTTTGGCTCCTGGCTGATCAGCTGAGAGGAGAGGGTTGGACATAAAGATTAAACTCCATTTATAAACATTGAGATCTGTTGCTTCAGATTGTTTGCTAGTCTGTCCAAAACTTTGGTCCAAAGGCCAGATTCCTGGTCCTTAGAGGACGAAACCTCATTTTTTTAATGACTCTTTCTCTAATGTCACCAACGTCTTGAAAAAGTCTCTTTGATCGCTACTTTTGTCCAAGACAAAGTATTTTTCAGGTCTCCCATGAGTGTACTACGTATATTATTCATGGTCACCAGAGGTCGAATCCTAATGTTTGTGAATGTTCCTGAAATTAGGCCCAAATTCGAGCGAAACATTTGACAGACAAAGAAAATAATCAATGTTACCTCAATAACGAGGGGTTCGGTGGTGGGGCCACGGCCGATGATGGTTTCGGGGATGTTGTCACCCTCAGCTCCTCGCTGATAGTACAGCACAGTCCCAGCAATGGGTGTCGCCCTGGAAAACTCGATAACCCAGTGGCCATTGAGGTAGTACTCACCACGCAGGTTCTTGATAGCTGGCCATGCACAGAGGTTACAGTCATTGTATGTACAGAATACAATCAGAACAGTACGTACAGGCTGTAAACTATTTCTCCTGATCTTCTAATAGTCTGTTTTCTGGAAACACAAACTCACCAAGGTAGTTGCGAGTGGCCACAGTTTCTCTGATGCTGATGGTGGTGGCTCCAACAGGGATGATAAACATCTGGTTGTAGCCTGAGATGAAAATGAGACGCAACTCATTCCACACACACACAATCTACGAAATGCTGCAAACTCAGACAAAAGAAATCAGAGCTTTCTGGTACCTCAGCAACAGATAAATCAAATGAGATGATTGAAAACATCTGGTAGTAATAAATGTGTAGCGTACCGGTTGGCAGGTCGCGTACAGAGAAGCTGTTCTTGACTTGGGAGCAGGACTGTCCGTTCCCCCCACACTGCAGGCAGGGGTCTTCCTGCTGAAGAGACTCCAACGTGTTGTCACAGCCGAGACGCTGAGGAGGGAAAAAGTAGGGAAACATTTTATCTGTAGGTATCGTGATGATAATACACACATGACGTTTTTTTAGTGAGTAAAGAACACCAACACTAAAATAAAATGTGCACATAAAAAATGTGCTGAGACAACTTTACTACATAAACCCTCAGAAAGGCAAGAGTCCAGTCCCAGAATTGCCGGTTTCTGCAGAACAAGACCTGATTTAACAAGATGTAAGAACCTGCGTTGCACGCATGACTATGCAGATATGTAATATCCAAACTTTCGAAACAGTTTGCAGAACCTTCAATAAGAATCTGTAAGAATTTATTAATATTTTTTCCCTCTTCAGACTCAAATGCAGGAGAGTTTTAATGTGCAGTGATTTGATGGAGAACCACTTAGTAGAAGTGCTGTGTGCATGAATATATTGAATTCATCAAATGTAATCTGTTCCAACAGCCGTGCTTTTACAGGTATGATAAAACCCACATAATGTTTATTTAAGTGGTGGCTGAGCAAAGAATATAAACACAAAAATAAAAACTGCACATAAAAAGTGTGCTGCATCCACTTTACTACATAAACCCTCAAACGGGCAAAAGTCCAGTCACAGAATTGCTGGTTTCAGTCGCCAAACTAAACCAATACAAGACCAGGTTTAACAAGGCGGAAGAGAAAAGTAGACCTGTGGGAACACGATGTTTCTGTGAAAGTAACAATCTCAAAACCACGCAACAGAAATCTGGAGCTGGAGGTTAAATACGTGAAGGTTTAAAAAGCAAAGGAACAATAAGGTTCAGAAATAAGACATGAGAACAGAGTGGGTTTTGGACAGCTGCTCCCCACAGAGGAGGAGATGAAGACATGATGTCAGAGGTTAAATAGTGGAGGTGTTTCATGAGGAAAAGGTCGCTGTGATAATTACATGAGATCAGAACAAGTGTTTGATATTACCACAAAGTGAAACTAATCCTTCATCCTGCTGCTCGCTGTGTCCACTCTGGTTAATGAAACCCTGTAAACCCTCTGAGCCCCTGACATGTTTCATTCCTGTGACTTTGATTTACGAATAAAATGACGGATGGACACACTGATCACGTCAGTGGATCAAATCTGCACCGCTGATAAGACGAGCGGTTGCATTTCTGTTGAAAACAAAGCTCTACGGTCATGAACATTCATGGCTTCACCTCAGCGTTCCAGTGCAGGTTAATCTGAGCAGCCTCAGGACAGGGTCAGACGGAGAGCAGCATGCATGGAACTAAAGTTCTGTCACAAAGGTCTACTGATTAATAATAATGATACTTATAAGGAGATTAAAAAAACCTAGAAAAGTTCGTAAATAAATTATTGATCAAGGGTCACGAAATAATGATGCGCTACTGAGAGTTACATATTGTTAATTTGCTCTTTTTGCCACAAACATGATCTCAGGAATCACTCAAGCTTTAGAGAGCTGTAGGGATGACGTATTGTAGCCAAACAGTTGGCAGCAGAAGTTGATAATGGCTAAAACTGAAAAAAAAAATGATGTTAGAAAAAGGTGGAATTAATTAACAGCAAGATGATGAACATAAGTTTCTTAAAACTAGCAGACGTTGCTCATCTCATTTCTTTATGTAGTCTAGTTGTTCACCTTTCTTATCGCATCACATTTGATCTAAATGTGTGTGCGTGTTCGTTTTCTGAGCAGCCTACCTTGCAGACTCCCTCCACACAAACGTCCCTCCGTCCAGGGTGACAGGGCGTCCCATCCACCACAGAGCTGCGGTGACGATAGAAGAAGTTTTCTCCTCTCGGCATGCAGTTCAGCTCACAGGGGTTCTCAGCTGTCAGAGACACAAGCTTCAGTTTAGAATAAAGGTCATTTAAACAATTTCACCTCAATTCATTCGTTACACAGCCGTGGCACCTTAGTAAGATGTATGTTTATATGTATATTAGCTGGGGTTTGGAGCTCTTGCAAATACTACTTTTACTTTGCTTCTGACCTCCATAATAAGGCAGCCACTTGTAGAGTTTCCCCTGGAAGTCAGTGCCATCAAACTGGGAGCACTGCTCTTCACGGAAATCCTTGGATCCCTCAGGACAGTCCTGACGGGAGAACAAAGTTAAATATCCTTCAATCAAATATGATCAAAACAAAATATATGTTTTATTTAATTAAGGAAGACACACAATACAAAAGTAATACATTGTTTCTGGTTCGTTTGTTTGTTCACCTGGATGTTGCAGGTGCGGTAGGACTTGTCTGGTCCCACACAGTTGTGTCCTCCATCAGCCCTGTGTGTAGAAAGCAGAGCATCAATATGAGACATGCCTGGATGATGTTTTTACAGATTAAACCTGATGCTTGGCCTGATGTGGAGGCAGAATTTTCCAAATTATCGTCCTAAAACAAAGAGACAAGAGGAAAGGTAATCTGTGATGTCTTGTGTGATTTATCTTTGTGAGCTTTAAATGATTTAAAGAGGTACTCCAGAGATTGAGTATTGCACTATCTATAAAGTTGGGGGATCTGATCTGTTAGAGACATATTTAACAAAGGAGGGTAAACAGTGAAGCAGATATCCTGACTTTTAGTCCCTAATATAGGTAAAGCTCTAAAAACACTGGATCCTACATTTCCCATTATGGTTATTTTTTTCAGATTTTGGAAAGCTCGTTGAGAGCCACAGACGACATTTTAAAACTGCTTTCACGGGTAATGCCCTTTTAAGCCACAAATGTGTGTTTTCATTTGCCTTACTGGTGCGGTGCTGTAGAAATCCCCTTTTGCATCTTTTCTAACTAAACTTTCATTAAAACTTCATGGGTCATCGCTGTGACACTAACATATAATGACTAGGTGAGGTTTGTATAAAAATGTTAGCTCAGACTTTCTAAATGACAAGTTTCAGGCATTAAGTGGCATTCCTCTTTAATCTCTGCATGTAATAAAAAGAAAACGAGCTCTCAGCACGAGGAGAAGCCTCAGCATCGTCACCGTTGAGCCCAAAACTAGCACAAACATCCGTGCATGCATTGCTGAACCGTGAGACAGCGGATTGTTTCGCCATCCTCCCTAGCAGCCACGCTGATAACTCATGATTAAGTCACCTCAAAAAGTACCTGCCCTTAAGCTGTAAAAACAAGACACGCTCCTGTCAGCACGCCAAACCCAAACTTAAACATGTCCAAACACTCAGCGGCAGCATCCAGCCTTCAACTTTTCAACTTTGGAGTGGAAAATAAACATTTGGAGCATCAAACTGTATTTTTTAATTAAAATGGCACATAACAGAAAAGCTACATTATTGATCGTAGACAATTTAAATAGATTATATCCCATGAGGTGAGGTCATTTTATGCTAAAATGGGAGTTCCTGCAAAGCACCCAACGAGTCAACAGAAGTTTAATCATAGTATTTAAAGGTGTGATTCTGGCAGACAAGATATGACAGAGTTCATCCGAATAGGTAGCAGTGGGCGGGACTTCTTCCCTGTTATTCATCATTCAGCTACAGACGGGAAACAGACTCACTGACAGACAGTCTGAGTCATCAACTGACTGGACATGTTGGAAACCAGCATCTTACACAGATCAATGGAAAACACCAAACATCACCAACCCGACAGAGATCTATCAGAACAAAACTGCATTGTCCTACAGTTTCTCCTTCCCATGAATGCAACAAAATGTGTATCAGAAAACTGTTTGGACACGTTAAAGAAACAGCTCATTATAGACACGTTCTGCCTGGTGGGCAAAACAAATCATCTACGTTCATCAAATTCCCTCTGAGTTATTGCTCAATAAGACACACCTATATTTCAGTGAGTATTTTAGGGTCACAAAGATTAGAAACACAGCAAACAGAGGATGAAGGATGACAGATGACATGTATCTGAAATCTGTAGTTATTGCTTACATCACATCCAAAACACATATTTAAAGATACCAGAGACTCCCAAACTAAAAAAGAAATGTTTTGTTGGAGCCTCTGGTCACATTTCAGATGTCTATGAGTTGTTTGCAGCTCCAGAATTCTCCTTTAAACTTCTCTGATTGTTTCATTTATATTAACAGTTTGAGTTGCAACATGTTACAACAAAAGCACAAAAAGATTAAAGAGAACGTGTTTTTTATCTTTCAATCATCTCTTGACCCGTCAGAGATAACTTGTGACCCACTGGAGAGAGCAACTGGACCACACTACCAAACTGTATATGAACTAGTTGAAACTAGCTCCAACTCAACAATAAAAAGCTGCTTACACATCGAAGCATCAGTCATTCAAATCTAATAGTGTCATATATAATAATATATCAAACACATTGGACATTTTTCAGCAGAATAAGTACATTTACTTTTGATGATTTAAGTATATTTTGCTATTCTCTCGTATATACTACAGGATTTTGAGAGACTTGAACACACCACTTCCCCCGTCATGAGCACAGATCACATTATGTGTTACATGAGGCAACACGCCGGCTGGATTCCAGTTCTGAATATTTACAATGTAAGCTGACAACAACACTCCTCACTCTGTCATGTGCAGTCAGAGGTTACAAAACAACCTATAAATGGACAAAACCATATTTAAAGAAATTATACTTAAAAAAAAAACATGTGCAGCAGAGTGATCCTCACAAGCAGCCAACACCCAGGAAAGAGAAGTCCTTCTAATATTAAAGGGCCCCTCCCTGCAGTCTGCTCTGGATGCAAGACAAGCCCACGTCCTCCTGACTTCAAGGCATTCTTTTACGATCAAGATACGATCTGTGAACCACGAACCTCTCAATTAGCTTGATTCACAACCTGTGTGTGTATTCAGGCACTCACAATGAGCTGAGAGGGTCAAAGAGAGTGTGTTTAAATATGCATGTTTCTGTAAATGTAGGTGCATTAAAGATAAGAAGGTAGGTAGGTAGGTAGGTAG